TTGATCAGGAGGAGTTGCATAGAGTAAGCAAAGCAGGGCATCGAAAGGCACGATTCACGTCACCGAATATTGAAGAGAAGACAGAGGATGGAGAGTGATCGCGTTTGTAGATCCGGAAGTTCTAGAAAGCAGACAGGGGCACGGGCCCGGCTTGCCAGAATGACGAGGATCGCAAAGGCAGGATGGGCCCAGGACAGTCCCCCGCCGCCTGCGATCAGTCACCGGGTGCACGCCACTAGCCCAACTCAATATCGTTTCTCGTTTTCATTTTCTCGGGCGCACTGGCACCCCTCCTGCCGACGCGGCGACACGGAGAAACCCGAAGTTATTGAGCGTGCATTTTCTGGCGGATTTCTCGTCGCATGCTAGACACCACAGCTGTCAGATAGCTCGTGCTCATCCCACGTGCTGTATTCTATGGCGGACTGGGATGGTATGTGGCAGTATCAGCAGGGTCACTATACTGGCCCTGCCCTAGCTCAGTAGTTGCAAGGGTGCCAGAACACAACTTAGTGCGCGTCCAACAGCGCGTCACAACAAGCCAAAACATATCGTATTAGGCAAGACATAAGCAACCGAGAGCCTGGTACATCAGTACAGCGCATGGCAATTGAAAGTCCGCCCCAGAGAAACGAGAGAAACAGCTCGAGGAGCTGTTTCTCGTTTTCTCGTTCGCGCTGAGATCCCAAGTCCGATCGCCGTTCGGCAGGGACCCCGAAAGGCTTCAGCGCACTGAGAAAATGAGCGAGAAACGCTTATTGAGTTCGACTACTGGATGCAGACTGGGATGCTCGCTGACGGGGGAAGACGACGACCCCGTACGGTGGCAAATGCAGCCGCCATTCAACACAGGGGTGACTTGACAGCCAATTTGCAACGCATTCCAACGCAGAAAAATGGGGAAAAAATGGGCAGAAAATCCGAGGCACACGAGCACCCCAGAACCTGCTCTGGAGGCAGCAGCAGCAGCGAGGCCCCTGCAGAGGGCCGATCGAGCGGCCTGGTGCAGTTGCATCCGGCGTGCGGACTTCCTGATTCGGGCCCGAGCACGATTTCGATCGAACAGGGCCCTCTGGCACCGCGTGCTTCTTCCTCGCACGTGAATTCGTCAGGTACAAGCCATCATTAGGTAAGGGTGGCACTTGCGACCTCGAATTAATTTACGAGACGACTTTGTCTGCGTAAATTCCGGGAAAATTGGAGGAGCTGGGGGAGGCGTTCCCCGAGAGCGTGCAGCAGTGGAATAGACCGTCAGTTGACCTGGCAGCGCGCCAAAGCAGGGAGAGCAGGGGGGCGACGGGCGGAAAGCAGGAGGAGAGGCGCAGGCCGGAGTCGGGCCGTGCAGCCAGGAGAGCAGACGCCAAACATTTGACCCCCTTTGAACAGATCTTCCGCGCTGCCGCTTTATTTTCCGGTATTTTGTCTGCGTCCTGCTGCGACCGTCTGCAACGTCGTCTGATACCACGTCGGAACCGTCGACGGCGCCGCCGCAAGCAGCAACATTGTCGAGTCTGTGGGCGCTGGTGCAGACTATTACGTCCGTAGGTACTAATACCGCTGTTTACGTCTTCGGGATCACCAACCGCATCTGCGTCCTCAGCCAGCAATGTCTTCCATGCCCGCTGGTCTCATGGCCTACGACGATCCCAAGCTCTCCTGGTCCCCGACCCTCCGCCCCACCGTCGACACCAGCCTCCCGTCCTCGTCTACCCCGGCCGAGGCTAGTCCTCAGTCTGCATCAATCTCCGCTACCAGCTCGCCATGGTCCCAGTCTGCGCCTCTGTCGTCCTCCCAGCCGTCCAGTCTCCTCTATCCCCACAACCGCACCACCTCGCCCGCAGGCCAGCCCGGCCAGTCCAGCAACTCCATGTCCTCCCCCCTCAGCAACCCCGAGTGGAACAGTCTCTTTTCCCAGCCGCTCAATCCCAGCGTCTTCGCCGCCCTCGCTGCCAACGGCGTCCTCGGCCTCCCCGCCTCGCCCGGCGACCCCTCTTCCGCCCCATCAGCGCCCCATCGCACCGGCCAGTTCCCCCCCTCCTTGTCGCGCTCACAGAACGCCGGCAACTTCGGCATGAACCCGCCCGAGCTGCATGTAAATACCGGTTCTTGGCCATCAACATCCATCAATCCCTCCTTTCCCCAGCGCGCTTCCCCCGCCCGTTCCAGCGGCTCGTCCAGAAGCAGCACCGTCAACTCCAAGGGGAAATCGCCCGCCGCGTTCACCCCCATCCATTCTCGCGAGCAGTCTGCCTCTTCGAGCCGCCCAGATTCGCATCCCTATGCCAATCGCAGAAACCCATCAGGTACGCTTTACTAGCCTTTTTGTCTACCGGAGTGAGTGAGATGGCGAGAAAGATCGGTCGTTGATATCCGGTGTTACTAACAGGTGACGACGGTCCGTTTTCGCTCGGCCTGCCTCCCCAGCAACCGCTTCAATACCCGAGTTACACAGTCCCCTCTCAGCGATCAAGTACCGCTCTCCCCCCTTCACTATGGATGTCTCCTACCTCTTCTACCGGCTCTATGACGCCCGGGATACCCGGGTACAGCCCCCTCAACCAGATGTCCCTCCCGACCGCCATACCCGAATCCGGGCCCTCCTCCTTCGTGAGCGCCTCGAGCCTGTCCGCGTACGGCGCCTCGCAGCTCTCGAGCCCGCAGACCGCGAGCTCGAAGCCGTCGCCGATCTTCAGCGACCTCTTCGCCGCGAGCAAGGACACGTCCGCGTACCCGTCGCCGAAGCTCTCGGGGTCCCCCGACCTCGACGCGGCGCGCCTCGCGAGCGGCGAGGTCGCGGACCCGGAGGAGATGGCGCGCCAGGACCCGCTCGCGACGCAGGTGTGGAAGATGTACGCGAAGCAGAAGGCGACGATGCCGCATGCGCAGCGGATGGAGAATCTCACCTGGCGGATGATGGCGCTGGCGCTCAAGAAGAAGAAGGAGGACGAGGCGAGGGCGGCGGCGGCGGCGGCGTCGGCGGCGGGTGAAGGTGCGGCGCAGGCCGGCGAGGTGGGCGAGGAGGCGGAGCAGGGGGAGAGGAAGGCGGCGGCGGCGGAGGCAAAGGCGGGTGAGGAGGAGGAGCGCGGGCGGGGCAGGGAAAAGACCAAGGCGAAGGTGCACGTCGTCGGTTTTGAAGGCATAAACCAGGATGGCGCGGAAGACCCGACCGAGTGCGTAATGTTCCTCATAAAGCACGCAATATCCATGAGTTCTGTCGATGAACTGACCAAACGTTTTTGCCGGCGACAGTGAGGTGCCCATGGACTGGCGGGCGATGAGCAGGTCCCGCTCCCGAGTCCCGATGGACTGGACGCCCACCAATCGCTCGCGCTCGCGCCAGCCCCAGGCGCGGCGCGCGTTCGATCTCAACGGGCTCGCACAGCAGCAGGAGTATGACCCGCGGTTCTCGCTGCCTGCCATCGACTCGTCCTCGGCCCCCGGGCAGAGCGCAAGTATAAGAGAACAGCGCGCGCTGGAGGGGCAGTTACGGTTCCCCTCGTCGGGCGAGTCGCCCCCGTCGACGTCGGGCCCCGGCACGTCCCCTAATATCCCGATCCCTGGGCGGCGGAGTCCCCCGCACGCGTCGCTCCCGACGCAGCTGAACTATCCCGGGCCTTTCTTCCCCCACTCGAACCCGCAATCCGGTGCGCCGCCGTTCCCCGACCACAACGCGCCGCGCTTCCCGCACCCGGGGCACCACCAGTCGCTGTCGGCGTTCACGAGTCCCACTATCCAGCCCGCGTCGTTGCCGGCCTTTGGTCTGCACGGGCTGCGGCTCCCGCCGGGCGGCGCGTCGGTGTCGGAGAGCCGTACCTTCCCGAGGAGGATCAGGAAGACGAGCTTTGATCATACCGTGGCGAAGGAGGGCATCTTTTCTGGGATCCCTGGGCGGCATCAGCTTAATGGGCGGCCCCAGGAGGTGGACAGTCTTGCGGGGATGAAGCGCCGCGCGGACGCGCCGCACGTCGAGAGTATGCTGCGCTGCGACCCGGCGAACGTCGATGGGACTGTCCGCCCTGATGCGGCCCTCGAGCACGAGAGGTTGGACAGGAACAGCCCGTTCCCCTCGTCTGCGTTCAATTTCAGTTTCCCGTACGACGGCTATTTCGACAGTGCCGGGCCTGGTCCGCACCTCCCCCATCCCGATTTCTCTACCGCGATGCCTCCGCCGTCGGAGGGCAGGTCGGACGGTCCGTTCAGCCAGCACCACAGTGCGCGGTCGTCGGTGAGTGGCGCGCCGTATTCGCCTACCGGGGAGTCGCCGCATCTGAACAGCGACGGGCTGTCCGCGGCGGCTGTCGCCGCGTCTGCCGCGATGGCGGAGGGCTACGCGCAGCTCAGCGCTGCCAATATCGCCGCGGTCGAGGACTCGGGGATGGATTACCAGCAGATCATGAGCTTGATGTATCCGAACTTGGACAACCCCGCGACGGGGATCGGGCAGCACAATCCGTACACGCACGTGGACCCGACGCAGATATTGCCGGTGGATGTCGAGGCCGGGGTGTTCCAGTCGTTCCATCCGAGCCCGTCGAGCGATGGTTGGGGGAACGGGGTGAACTCGAGCTCGAACGCGTCGCCGGAGCCGTACAATACCTCGAGCGCGTCGTCGCCGAGGGGGCTGGAGCCCCCGGCGGGCACGAATGGCGTGCGGATACCGGGCAGGAAGCTGGCTACGAAACGCGTGTCGCAGGACTCGCATAGTAGCAGGGCTGCGCAGGTCGCTGCAGCGGCCCAGCGGAAGAAGTCCCTGCCGAATCTTGTGAGTGCCGGCGGGATGGGCGAGAATAGGTCGACGAGCAGTACGCCGGAGCGGGGCTCGAATGGGGAGGGGAGTGGGGGACAGGCGGGGAAGGCGGGGAATGACGACGGGGACCAGGCGCCGACTGTTTGTACGAATTGCCAGACGACGAATACCCCTCTGTGGCGGAGGGATCCTGAGGGGCAACCCCTATGTACGTGCCTCTCTTATCGTCTGAGGTTTTTATCTTGTCGTTCTAACGTAGCCGATTCTATGCAGGTAATGCGTGCGGTCTGTTCTATGTACGTTTGATTGCATTTTAGCGATGTGATAGCTGTCTCACATGATACCTGCAGAAACTACACGGTGTGGTCCGCCCGCTATCGTTAAAGACAGACGTTATCAAGAAGAGGTGGGTATTTTTCTTGGCTTATCATGGACGTCCGGTATCTTATATTTGTCCAGAAATCGTGCACCGGGAACCCCCAGCACTGCGGCGCGCAAAGGTCAGACGCTGCCCAAGGTAGCCTCTAACTCGACGCGTCCCCGGTCGTCTACGACTGGGCATCAACCAATCGGACTCGCCAGTCGAGTCGGTGTATCCCCGGGTAATGCTGGTTCACTTGCCATGAAACGACAGCGACGGACTTCCACCCAAGGCCTGACGACTGCTAGCAGCAAGTCGGACGAGGGCCTAGGTGCATAAGAGACGATATATTATTTATTTCTTCCTATGGTTCTCTCTCTCTCTCTCTCCGGTATCTGTGACCACTATATTTGCTCCCATCGTTGTAGCTTGACCCCCCTCCGGTTGCTATCCACATGTTATTCCTCTTATGTTCACGGCGACTTGTATGACCAGCCACGGTAGAGAAGTTAGCACATAGAGTACTCATCTTGTTTTCCTGTATTTTGCGGCGAATCTGCTCAAACAATTGGTCCTTGGGAACAACTTGTTGATTCAGGTCAAGCTAAGCGCCCTCTCGGACACTATATGATAGGTCGCGTGTTCTAGACTAGGGATTTGTTTAGCCGTATCGCTACCAGCGGGAAGGTCATAGGCGTCACGGTCGTGTTCGACGTTCAACTCGACAGACGATCGTTTCTTCTTTCTTGTTTCCCGCTGCGTCCCCTCCGCCCACCCTGGCTTCACTTTTCCGCCCGTCGCAGCGCCAGCCGGCCCCGCCGTCGTCCTACCCGACAGGTCTCCGGCCAGACACGCGCGAGGACCGCCATGGCGGCGGCCAGGGGAACTTGCCGCGTCGGGCGTCACGCACGGAAATGGACTTCGAGCAAGCCTTGCGCACTGGCGGCACTGTCGTATTGAGGGAGGGTGTCGATGTGAACACCCTGGGCATGGACGCGACGCCATCACCGAAACACTCGGTTTCATCTCCGCAAGTACCACGAATATCCCGTTCTGCTCAGCCTGCTACGCCAGGTGTCATTCCCCCCACACCATCACCGGGCGGTAACAACGTTGCTGGCCCGTCATCCAATTTACGATCTCCTTCGCCGTCGTCCTCGTCAAATGAACACTTCTTCGACGTAGAAGACACCGATCTGCAGACGAAACGCCGTTCTATCTATCGCTCACCCGGTACCGCCAGCAGCCCCGACTTAGCGACCCTGATCAGGAAAGCGAAGGAGAGGGGAGGGGGGTTCATGGACTTGCGAGGGAGGAAAGAGGCTGCTAAAGAAGCGCCACCACCGTTACCGAACGCGAAGCCGGCTGGTCTGTATCCTAATCGACCTTCACCTTCTCACCGTCCGCGGTCGTCGACATCGTCGTCTGCGCATGCCACGCCCGTACCGAAGGGGAAAGGCCGAGTTGATATGTCTAACGCGCGGAGTCCAGGCAGTCCTGACTCACAATGGGTCTTGACTAGTCCACGTACGAAAAGCTCCGGGAAGGAGAGCGGGAACTCGAAGGTGAGCGCACCATGCTTTCCTCAGACTTGAAGTTCACCAGTGTCTTCATTGTCAAGCATGCTATGTCGTCCGTCCGAGCAAAGACGAGCGCTCTACTTGGCAAGATGTGGGGAGGACAAGGTACCGTGAGGGAGCGCTCCGTGGGTCGTCTGTCCGTCATTCAAACGTAATCTTGACCGATTGTCACAGAAAACCGACGCTTCCACGAACATGCCGAGCTTTGACTCAAGGCAGTCTGACCTGTCCTCGCTGCCAGTACCAGCTCTGCCCAAAGAATTACGTCGTGCACAAGTAGCATCTCCTATTAACGACGTGTTCACAGAATCTCGGCCAAGCACATCGGACCCCAACAAGCCCCTACCTCCTATCTCCCAAGCTGACCTCTTGGGTGCTAGCGCTGTCAACGAGTCGGACGATCATTCCATGGTCATTATCGACCCGTCGTCAGCACATCGGTCGCGCTCACCATCACCGGAGAGAACGATCAAGAGTAGGACGCCGCCAGCCGCAAACAGGTCCTCCCGCCATAGTAAGCGGAGGAGCATGAGCGTCGGGGAAGCAGAGCTCAGACAGGCGATGGCCCAGGGTTCGACACCTACTACCCTTCCTACCGTCAAGGATAAAAATAGCGAGGACGGGCTGGGCTGGGATACAAGTCTATATGGAATGTTGACCGACTTCCGAGGCGAACTGTCCCACCTCGATTCGCATACGTCGCTGGACCTCAAAGATCCTACGACCCCTGCCAAACGCGCGTCTGCTCTCGCGCGTTCCAAGACGGAACAAGCCAACATGGCCAGAGCATCTACCGAAACCGAGCGACCTCATCCCAAGCAAGCATCTTCTTGGCCTTTACGACTCGATACCCCTGCTGTCACATTAGATACCCCTGCACTTGACACCCCTACCCTCACTTTAGAGCCTGCCTCTCGCAGTCATTCAAACCCGTTGGTCACCTCTCCTGTTCACCGCTCCTCTGCTGATTCTGCGAATTCTCCGTCCCGGTCGGGATCCCTTGCGAGCCCTGTCCGGTCGTCATCTCGTTCTGGGTCAAACCCTATTGGCGCCCGTCCTACGCAGTCTCCGCGATACGGTCCCCGAGTTGCGCGGTCGCGGGACTCTAGTTTAGCTAGTTCGCTGCTCCAGCATGCGCAATCATCTTCTCGGGACTCCTCGCGACTGCGCTCTCACCATAAGTCCAGTGCCTCTAGTTCTGAACCTTCCTTGGTCCCGTGTCCCCCGCACCCTCGTGAGCATGATCGCACTATCCGTCATGCTCACTCCTCACTCTCGACGGCATCCTCAGCCCTTACTGCCAGTTCTCAAGTGGATCTTTCCGGTCGCCCAACTTTGTCTCGTTACGACTCTGCTGACCAATCCCCGGCTCGTGAAGACGATGATTTGGACGTGGAAGCTCGTGGGCAAGAGTTGGCTGCCAAATGCTGGACTGAAGATGAAGAGTTCCTTGCTAAGGAGAAGATTGCCGAATGGCTTGGTGGGCAGTATGTAGATACTTTCATGCTCATCATGCCTGCTCCCTAACTCTGGATTCAGCCGCCGTGTTAACAAAATCGCATTGCATCACTATATGGACAACTTCGACTTCTCTGGTTTGAGACTGGATTTGGCATTCCGACGGTTATGCGGGAAGTTATTCTTGAAAGCGGAAACGCAGCAAGTTGATCGTATATTAGAGGAGTTCAGTCGACGATACTGGGATTGCAATCCAAATTCCGTCTTTGGCAGCGCTAGTGAGTTGTAGTGGAGTTATGATATCGTGCGCTCACAACCCTATTGCAACAGGCGTCGTCCATGCTGTGTCTTACTCGCTATTGCTCTTGAATACCGACTTGCATGTTGCCGAGCTGACCTCGCGTATGTCAAGAAGTCAGTTTGTCCGCAACACCCTGGCCGCCATTCAAATGCAATTCCAGCCGACTCGATCCGAGGGTATTTCAACGCCCGATCTGGTCTATGATGATAATAGCAGCATGCGGGGCGTCGGATCCGACAGCAGTGATGCTGTAAGTACTGTCCAGTCCCGTGGTAAACGGAGTGGAAGTATCGCCAGCTGGAACAGTGTTACTGTCGACGGTTACGTCTCCAATGTGAAAGTGGGTGCTGCAGCTTCGACGGGGCAAGTCGATGCTTCGCCAGGGAAGGAGCCTGTCCGCAATGACAGTGTGACGTCGGTTGCCCTACCGTCTGGATCTGAGTCCCGGACGCCTAGTAGTGGTTCGACTCCTTTCGTTTACGATCGTGCCTGGGAAAATGAGATGGAGAGCCTCTTGAAGGTACGTGTACTGAGAGGAGGTTTGAGGTCGGTATTGATGTGGCTGTGGCAGGATATGTACAATGCCGTCAAGAATCAGCAAATTCTCCAACCGCTGGGCAGTAGTCTTATGGTGCGAGGGTCAACCTCGTCTTTGGTCCCCGGCTCTCCCCACAATGCTGTGCTGCGCAACCGAAGCGTACGGACGCAGAATGACCGTCTCACTACTTTGAAACGGGGTAGCATTCGCGGGCTCTCGTCCCTTATTGGGGTTCAGTCCGCTGTTAGTCCGTACAGCAGCCATAGCAGTCTTGATGGTCGGGCTAGCCCTTCCCCTAGTTTCGCCACATCTACGAATGAAGTAAGTGCGCAGATCCTGAGGCTCTATGTAATCTAACTGGAGTAACGTAGGCCATTCCAAGTGCCTCGTTCTTGACCCCTGCGTTAGGGTTCGCTTCTAACCTTTCGCACACTATCATCCGCGAAGCGCAAGAGGACGACGACCGCAGTGCTCAGAGTCAGGATACGGAGTCGACGAATATAAGTATTACTGACGAAGAGTTGGCGCTCCTTGGGCCACCTTGGGCCAAGGAGGGTATGTTGTGCCGGAAACAGTATTGGGAATCCACCGGGAAGCGAGCCAAGTCAAGAAACTGGATGGACGTGTTTGTCGTTATCCAGAAAGGCGAACTCAGCATGTTTACCTTCGGTGAACATGGCGGAGGCGGCCATAATGTGGTTGGTGGTGGTAACTGGCTGGTTCGTCAAACGTTTCTGGTGACTTGCGTTTCGAGCTGATTGTTGAACATCCAAAGGAAAACGCCAACTCCGTCGGATCTGTGCTTTTGGCCCATTCTCTTGCGCATGCGCTACCGCCCCCGGGATACAACCGGCAACGTCCTCATTGTATGGTCCTGACACTGTCCAATGGCGCAGTATATTTCTTCCAGGCTGGCACGGAAGAGCTTGTTAACGAATGGGTCTCCACTTGCAACTATTGGGCGGCTAGGACGAGTAAGGAGCCACTGACGGGAGGTGTCTCCAATATGGAATATGGCTGGAACAGGGTGGCAGAGCCCCACGGCCGGTCTGCTTCGGAAGACGAACTCAATAAAAAAGAGTCCGACTCTCTCAGTGTACACAGCCATCACAGCAAGTATGGCTGGAAGAATGGGTCTGCAACTGTCAGAGCCTCCCCTATGGGAGAGCGCATCTCGATCAACGAATGGAAACCACCTCTTCCTCCTGCTGTGGCCAGTACACACGACGAGGAGACGCAACTGGAGGCCTTGCAGAAACACGTCAATTCCCTGAAGAAGGATCTCAAGCAGCATAATGAACTCCGAGAACCCATGATGTCTTTGGTAACTCTCACTCGTCTTTCCGTCTCGTCAGAACGCTAATGACTTCTTTCTCAGTATCAGCCTCGATCCGCGAACGCTACCAAGGCCATGAGTAATTGGGAGAAGAAGTCGCAGTATTTGCTGGCGGAGATTGTCAAGTACTCCTCCTACATCGACTCTCTTCAGGCCGCTATGGCTTTGCGCCTGAAGAAAAGAGGAGAAAAAGCCTTGGAGCGCGCTCTGGTTACCGTGGATCCCGATGAGGATTCTGCAGCTCAAAAGGGCAAGTGGAATCCCGAAGAGGAGACGATTGAAGAGGGTGATGAACCCATTTCCGCTGGTCTGGATCCCTCTCGACTGTCTACGTCGCAATCCCATCGGAGGGAGAGAGCGGTGATCTGCGACAGTGAGGACGAGGACGATGAGGCATAATCCTGACGCTGTACATCTGCTTTTTATACGTTCACTTAGTATTTTCCTGCTATCGATCGGTATTTCTTATAATATCTCTGTATTAGAACGCTCCTTACAGTTATCTCTCCTGATTCTCTGGATCCAAGCTGAGGTGGCAATCGTGATATACTTTACGTTCTGAGTCAAGCTCATCTCCGGCGTACGAGGAATACAATCGGATCACCTGCACATGAGGGTGCAATGTCATGCAGCATCGGTGTGCCTCCCAGCATGTATTGTCTGGTAAGGTCGACATCGACGTCATGGTTGTGGTGGCTGTGTCAACTGATCACGTCCGCTGAGCGCGGAATATCCTCGCAACTGGAAGGTGATGCATATGAAGGTTCAAGTCTGACGATTCTCATGCAATTGCACTTGACGATGGACGCAATTCTTTTCAGTGTTCAAGGCTTTTAATGCTCTCAGGCTGAGCGTTGAGTGACCGCTTGGACGGCTATTGATTTTGAATGAAGACCAGGATCGATTCAATGCATGACATCTAGTTATTCCGACAGCGAAAGACCGAACACTTCTGATCCAGTCAGAACGAACGACCTATAACGAAGAAGCAGTCCCTCCGGTCCCGAGGTCTATTCTCGTGTCAAGGCACATGGTACTACTCATCCACTGATGTCAAGCTTGTATCGAGGAAGGCCCCAAGTGATGACAAGTAGCTCGACCGCTTGAACTTGCGTGGTAAATGGTCTCTCATGAACTACTGCGAATCGATTAATTCCCGCGTGGCCGACTATCGGGGGATATTCTCTTGGAGCGAGGATACGCCGAGTCGCCGACGTTCCAAAGAGACCCGTCAAGTCTACACTCAGGTTCCAGCATATAAGAAGCATTTCACCCCGCACGACTGGACCAACTAAAGGATGAAGCTCCTCAGTATAAGTATCGCTTCAGGCGCTGCACTGCTAGCGTCTTTGGGCGTCCAGGCGGCTACCAGTTTCGTAAAGACCTCAGGACAACGCTTCACTCTGAATGGATCGCCGTTCACTGTAGTCGGGTGAGCCTGATATCACCCGGTATCTCCTGCCTCGTTTCTCACGCGTCTTCCAGTGCCAACTCGTACTGGGTGGGCCTTATGGGCTTGACCACCGCTCAGATGAACCAAGCATTTGCGGATATTGCGCGGACAGGCGCCACTGCCGTTCGCACTTGGTGAGACGCCAGAGCATTAACCTTGAGGGCATGTCTGACATAGAAGGGTAGGGGATTTAACGATGTGACGGCGCCGATTAGTACAGCCTATTATCAGCTGTGGACCAACGGTACTGCAACAGTGAACACCGGACCTACGGGGTTAGGCAACTTCGGTAATTCCCCTACCCTCATGCGCATAATTTGAGCTCACATATAAATATATATCAGACAACGTTGTAGCTGCAGCCAAGGCTAACGGTCTTCGTCTGATCGTAACTCTGTACGTGTCACGTCTCGGTGGCGGAATGTTAGAATCGGTCACTGATTTGCGGCGTAGAACCAATAACTGGTCTGATTACGGCGGCATGGATGTATATGTCAACCAGCTCATTGGTCAAGGGTCCCCTCACGATTACTTCTACACGAACGCAGCTACTCAGGTAATGGAACAGAGACCCGAGAATGGTGGGTTTCGGAGATTGACGCTTAAGCTTCCGCTAGGCTGCATACAAGAACTACGTCAAGACGTTCATATCACGGTACATTAACGAGCCCACTATTATGGCATGGGAACTAGGTGCGGAAAGCCGCTCCAAGCGTTCGGGCATATAGCTGATTCAATATTCAGCGAACGAGCCGCGATGTGCGGGTTCAACTGGGTGCGTTCACGTCTACGCCAGTTTTCTATTCCCTGACGCTGATCTCTTTATGGTTAGTGTTACGAGTGGTAGCTGCAACACCACCACCATCACAGCATGGGCGAGCACCATGTCCGCCTATATCAAGTCCATAGACTCGAACCATTTGGTGGCTATTGGTGACGAGGGTTTCTTCAACGAGCCTAGCAGTCCGCTCTACCCCTACCAGTCTGTGTTTACCTCGTAGTGGTAACAAGTCACTCTGATTTACCCTATACGCTTTTAGGGGAACCGAAGGTATCGATTTCAACGCTAATATGGGTATCTCCACCCTTGACTTCGGTACTGCCCATGTCAGTGTTTAAACATCTCCCCAGATACACTCACGGTTGACTTGACGTATCTGCAGTTATATCCGGTTCGTCCGCTGCTAGGTATGCTCGCATGATTCAGCAGCTTACCGATTGGTAGGTCTCTTGGGGACAGACCGCTGATCCGACCGGATTTGGGGTCCAATGGATCCAGGATCATGCTACGTCCCAGAAGACGTATAATAAGCCCGTGCTGCTGGAAGAATTTGGCGTGACGTCCAACCAGACCGGAACTTACGCACAGTGGTACTCCACAATACTAAGCTCTGGTCTAACGGGGGACCTCATCTGGTGAGCCTTGCAGATGCATGTGTAGCCATAGAATCACATTCGACCTTCCCCAATAGGCAAGCTGGATCCTACTTGAGTACTGGCGCTACACCAAATGACGGGTATACGGTGAGTTAAGTTGAACGCAGTGTGGCTCGAGATCTCACACATCACCAGATTTACCCGAACACCACCGTATATGCAATGGAAGCACTGCATGTTGCGGCACTAAAGGCCCGAAACGTTTGAGACTGTTTTCTGGGCGACGTGATGTTGAACTTGGCGAGACACCTTCCTCATTAGTAAGCGGATGAATATGTCGGACATAAATGCATGTGTTTGTCGACGTAGTGAATGTTGTTCTGATTGATAATTGATGATGGTGTTCGACCGATGTTATAAGATGAGCATTGTTATAAGGACCAAGCCAGCGAAATTGCCAAGGTCACCGTCAGCAACCAGCTATTCATGGAGAGCCTCCTGCTACCTGCTGAACTCGAAGAACCCCCGGTGCCAGTGGTGCTATTCGTACCACCCCAGCAGTACCTGCTGAAGCACGATCCGCACAGTCCACTCCTCTGGACACCCACTCTATCCCTTGCTTTATCCACCACAGCACATGCAAGACAAGCTGGCCAGTCAGCGTCCATCCCTTTTAGAGTAGCTATAGTGAACGACTGGTCCAACATAGCTTGCACGTCTGCTGGCTGGTACTGTATTTGTAATGTTGAGGTGTTGGTGAGGGAAGGCTCGCCCGGTGGTGCTTGACCATTGGGTATATAAATAAGCAGGGGTGTTGGGGCCGATGAGTTACAGCCGAAGAACGTCGGATGAGCTGTCAGGTTGTCCCTGGTAAATTCGTCCAGTGAAGTAGGGACCGGAGGGAACGAATATGCCGAGGGGAAAAGAGAAGTTCGGTTTTGCGTTGCCTGTCGAGCATTTGTGAGAAGTCTTCCGACGGTTAAGCTGTGACTTTTACTTACAATCAGTGAACTACCACGGGCATAGTTGTCTTCATCTGAGCTCTATTCAGTTCGATGTCGTCAATCAAGTCACCAATGTCACGACCGAGTGAATCCTCACACACCGCGTCAATAGCAATAATAACGTCCACTCCTCGGGCCTTTACCAGAAGCGGCTGCAGAGGTATGACTTCACCATCCTCTCCGCCATCAACAAGCTGTAGGTATTCTTGCGTCGAGTCGATGTAGGTACCGTTAGCTACTCCGTAGAATGGATTGGGATACAGGGAAACGTCCAACTCGACATTGGCTTGGGGTATGCTCTGGTTGAGGAGGGTGAAGAATGGCCCAGCAGTAGAATTTAGCAGGCTCGCCGCCTAAATAACCAAATGGTCAGAAGGTTTCTCCATCTTGGGTAACGAAGCCATACCGTAACATTAGCCTCATTGAAAAGCTCCGACGAGGTCGCTTCGATGAATGAAGCTTGATCGAAGCCAGTGATGCAGATAGAAGTATTCGTCGTGCCTAGATATTGCGTCGGCGTAAAGGTAGACAAAGTTGGGTCGTATGATCCCATCTCATCTGCCAAAAAAGCGACGTCACATTCAGCTTGCGAGCTCGCGAGTGGACTTTACCCACAGACGTTGAACTCGTAAATAGGGTTTGTGAGGGGTACCAAGTCTCCCTCTGCGGTGATTATACTGGAGCGGTTCTCAGTATTCGATACTGAATCAGCTACGACAATAGGGAATGGTTCATTATGCGACGCAAATGTAGACCTAGGCATTCGCAGGTTAATCTATGCGGCTAATCCACTAGTCATCGCTAGCAACGCACGTATTAGCGACTTGCGACCATGTTATACCAGCGCCATGAGTCTGGGTCACGTCGTCGATATTCCCAGAGTTCGTCCCGTTAACAAAATGCCTCGAGAGCAGCCGAGCCCAGACATCGGCAATTGTCACAGGGAAGCCAGCATCATGCTTTCCTCGTACTTCGGCAACCATGGCTGCATCATACAGCGTGTCCTTAACCGGGTCACCGCTTGGTTCGAATAAGTTGTACTGAGCCAACCAGCCTCCAAAACCACTGGACGTGGAGTTATCACTCGGGCCGAAAACGAGCTCCTGGAATGGAGGAAAGTCCGCCTGAACAAGAGAAACGAGAAGCCAGGAGCCCCCAGATAACCCAGTCAAGTATGTCGCGGACTGAAGCAGTCCACCAGTCCCAGCATGCGACGAAGTGGAATTACGTCCGTCGAGAGCATTCAGGACGCCTGCTCCAAAAATTGCAGCCCTATACCCTCCCCCGCTCGTAGCAATACCTAGTGTAGGATATGCATTGGAGCCGTTGGCACCGCTGAGAATGGAAGAGACGTATGAAGGCAGAGACGCGTTCGTGGACTGAAGATTATACAGATATGATTTCCATGATCCAGGGAGAACGTTGGCCTTGCGAGAGGAGATATAGGCGTGTTCTCCGGCGCTAAGAGTTTGATTCGAGGAATCTGTTGTTCGATGGAGAGAAAACCCCTCTGGGCAAGGACCGAAGGTCGGAGTGTACGCAGACGACGCAGACTGGCCTAAAGCAGATGGGACCAGATGGGACCAGAGAGTGATGAAGCCTAAGAGACCACGGACCAGCATCGTGGGTTACAGACTATCTTCTTGGAGTGCGAGATATATACACTGTATGTCAGCCGGAGTAATACCAGGACCGCTGACAGAAAAGTACCCGAGAGCAACCTATTTGTGGGGCTGGCCAGCGGTCCCGCCAATTCCCGTTCGAACACGAGTCAGCCGTGGTCTGCCGGAGCTGCCCTCGGAATTATAAGACACATTGGCGAGACTCGAAAGCGCATCTTATAACGGGAACAGTCCAGATCTCGTGGCAGTCTCAATGTTATCATGATCAGCAGATCGACATTGTTTGGTCGGAATGATAGAAGTGTTCGTCGCCCTTGCACCCACGAGGCAAGCAAGGCATGGCGACCTGTCAGAGCGTGTAATCCAGCATTACTTCGGCTACTCGGATGGAGTCCCAATATCAAGCATCCTTCTTGATAGATACAGCTATCCATTGCGAGAGATTGCGAGGCTTCGCGAGGCCAGTCGCGTAAGAGCTCGAGGAAACCTGAATCCCAAATGACATCAATCCGGATCAGTGACAGTGAGTGGCACTGAGTGCTTCGAAGCTTCCAATCCAGTTCCAGTGGTTCGTCATGTACATGGTCTCACCGATACAGTAGCCATGCTTCTTCTCACTCGCACACAAACGACGACATGCGGAAGCTTCAACGCTCAAGCCTTCAGGGCGGCCACAGCAAGCGTCGTAACGGTATACGTACTGGATTTTGTGTTTCTCTGAACACAAGTCACGGCACGTGATAAGGTACATACATATAAGACGCGTCACAAACGACGTCGACCGCGTCGTGCCAAAATGCAGACGGGCCTCCGAGACCTTGGGACTCCTCGCGCTGTGTCATACACGCTAGGTAAGGAAGAAAAGTGACTGGGCATTTGAAGCCGCTTCTGGATCCCAACCTACGACCGGGAGACAGTACTGTATATTACTGTAGTACTAAAACGACGTAGAACCCGCACCGCTCCTTCCTTAGCTCCCTACAGAAGACTCCAAAGCAGCGTTTCTACGTGTTTACCTTAACTCCAGCAGTACTCCTTCATGCACGTCTCACACACTCCACTTCTGATTGCGCCCAACATTACTCTGGCTCTGTCAACAACGGCGCACGCGAGACAGGCTGGCCAGTCATCATCGACCCCGCGGAGGGTCGCCATATCGAATGTTTGGTCCAACATACCCTGAACCTCCATTAAACTATACTCAAGCTGATCCGACGATGTATTAGTAAGAGGAGGCTGCCCTGGTAGAGGTGCGCCGTTGGGGACGTAGATAATGAGCGGCGTAGGGCTGGACGAGTTGCAGCCGAAGAACGTTGGGCGAGAAGTTAGGTTTTTCTCTATAAAATCATCCACTGAGCTGGGTACCGGGGGAAAGGAGTATGCAGACGGAAAGAAGGTAGTGCGGGTTTGAGAGGCCTGTATGGAGTGAGTGAGCCAGTGATGATCGAGACACGAAGGTGATCCAAGGCTTACAATGAGCGAGCTGCCTGCGGCATAGCCATCGACGTCGGCGGTCTACATTCAATTCAAGTTTCATATCGGTCGCGACTCTCCCGAATACCCGTTGGACTCACCGCGTCTATAGCTAGAATGACTTCCACTCCTCTAGCCTGCACAAGTAGCGGCTGCAGAGGGATGCTCTCGGTGTTGAAGCCGCCATCCACGAGATTGAGGTAAGTCTCATCAGAGTCGATGTACGTCCCTTTGTTGACACCGTAGAATGGGTTGGGATACACTGCTGCATCCAGTTCGATATTGGGCTCCAGGAGCGTTAGGTCGATGATCGGATCCAAGAGTTGCAGTATTGCAGTCAGCTGTTGACTCGGATGTGTGAGAGTTGGTCGGAAGAGTACAGGCCACGGTACGTACGTTTGTCGTATTGTAGCTGGTGAATACGTCGGACGACGTGGCTTGAACGAATGAAAGCTGGTCGAAGCCCGTAACGCAAGTACTGCCATTTGTAGTACCCATATACTTGGTTTGGGCGAAAGCTGCTAAAGTCGGGTCATATGAACCCATTTCATCTGTTAATATGCAGTTCAGGTATTTATTCCGTCAAGCAATCCATGGGTTGTTCCACTTACAGACGTTGAACTCGTAAATAGGGTTGGTGAGAGGAATTTGGCCGCCTACAAGTATGTTGGACTTATTGCCGCCATTTGATTTCGAGTCGGCGATGACGATGGGGAACGGTTCGTTGAAAGAAGCGAATGTTGCGCTGTCATATTTGTGAGTTGTTTGTCGGTGCTTCCTTGGATACGTGAAACCACTCACGTCTTTGCAACACCGGATAAAGTCAACCCGGCTCCATGGGCTTTGGTAAAATCGTAGAAATTGGCTCCATTCGTCCCATTTAAGAAGTGTCTAGCCAGGTTTCCCGCCCAGATATCCGCGATTGTAATCGGAAAGCCCGCAAGATGCTTTCCCTGGATATCCGCAACCAAACCCGCAAGGTAGGCAACATCGGTGACTAAATCATCGCTCGGCGTAGCCAGACTGTACTGGGGAAGCCATCCGCCAAACCTGGAGCTCTGTCCTCCCCCGGACGTGCCGAAGACGAGGTCATGAATCACGGGAAAGTTGGCTTGCATCATGGACGTCACTAACCACGCTCCTCCAGACAGACCGGTGAGGTACGTGGCGGCCTGTAATAGTCCGCCGGCTCCGTTTCTGGACGAAGACACATTTCTTCCGTCCAGGGCGTTTAGCACGCCGCCGCCGAATATGGCTGCTCGCCATCCGCCACCGCTGGTCGCTATCCCGAGCGTAGGATATACCTCGGTGCCGTTGGCGCCGCTGAGGATTGACGAGACATATCCAGGCAAGGACACGTTGGTACCTTCAACATTTGAAAGGTACGACTTCCAAGCTTCAGGGAGGACATGATTCTTGCGAGAAGAGACGTACGCAGACTCCCCTTCGCTCAGGGTCTGATTAGAGATTCCCACCGGTCGATACAGGGAGAAACCGTCAGGACAGGGGCTATGGGAAGGAGTGTATAGTGCAACCGCCGATTTGCTGGACACGATTTGAGGGTAGAGAAGGAAGAGAGTAGCGACTATTTTAAAGAGTGACATTTTCTCGAGCGGGACGACCAGAGGCCCCCAAGCAATCCGGTCTTGGGGAGTCTTTGGACTGCCCGCTCCTTTTATTGAAGTCGCAGTACCCCGCGTTTTAGTCTAATGTTGCTACGGACGTACACAGAAGCTGGCCGTGCGTAAGTGCATTGACGTTCTCGGAGTTTTGATTCGCCATGAGCCTGGGGCCAATGGCACAGGGAACGGAATGCTTACTTTTACAGGGCACACCCATAGTGCAGCGCCAGAATAGATGAGACACCCCGTACAGTTGATCCTCGTCCCCGAAGCCAGAGCAATGCAGCTGCTGAACAAGAAAAGGAGCACTTGCGGTTCCGGATGTCCTGAAGGCTCTTCGGGCATGCTAATAATATTTGGCGCCCATTCCAGTCTCAATATGTGGTTTGTGGCCGAACAATCCTATTGACGTTCGTACGCGTACGGGCGTAGTTACGGACTTAGGTTGCGGTCCGAGCGCCGCGGCCCTGCCTGAAGGCTGAGTGCATCTGCCACACCAGACAAATGGACAATGTCTCACCATCCTGCTCGTCAGCGGAATAAGTTTCATCTCGGCGACAAGAGCGCAATCGCTTCATACTTCGTAACACATAAGTAACAAGTGACGGTAGTCGTTCATAGTTCCACAGATGACGGATAACATAGCAGCTAACGTGCATCATGATGATATGGTTCCTACAAATGTTACACAGCTGTATCCCCGCTCCTGAAATCTGTTATTGTAAGCTTATAGCCATCTTCCGTTTTATTTTTCTCCTCAAGACTTGCGATATTCGAAGATTTGACAGGTTCCAGCTCGAGGGCATCCATAGAATTATCATGATGTACCTGGAAACGAGTGTGAGAGGCACATGAAATCTGAAGATAACAAATAAACGTACCACAGAGGTAGTAGTGATCTGTATGCCACCATCCCTCTGGGGGTACTGAGACCTCGGGCGACGGTCAGTGCGTAAGTTGTAGGGCTTGAACATGGAAGATGAAGCTTCTTCACTCGGGCTCGAGAACCAGAACTTCCGCGCATTAAGTGATGACAGAACACAGTTTGTGTACAATTTTGCCAAGGGCAGATTGAATATCAGAGGGCTATCAAAGCTATGGTAAGCACAACCACACCGAGAAAATAGTGTTACCCACATAGAGGTCTTCTGTGCTCCGGGCTCTGTTAGACTACCTCTTCAGAATATTGATGCAGCAGGCTCACCGTCGTGAGATACAAGATTAGGTTCAGTGTAGCTACTACGGAAGTGATCATACCCGTAGGAATGGCCACTTTCGAGAGGCATGTTCGTTAATTGCAATGGGACGACAATCAAAATACGCACCGCGCATAAGTTTCGTGAGCAGATCTTCTGTCTCAGGAAAGATGGTTTTCTGTCTGTGCTGTTGCCATCACTATCAGTCCGCACGGACTCGAGTGGTATGGAGGAACATTCGTACCAAGTGCCAGACCAATCCCGCAGTAATAATTACATCCGTCACAGCGGCCCCGGCCAGCCAGACGATCACCACTCGTTCGACCTGTTGCAACCCAGAGAACTTCTGCCAAATTTCACTATATGTCAGTAGGAACGCATTGCTATGATTTTCGGTGGACGAACAGATTTGAGGATGGTTATACCAATAGAGGCGCCTATTGCACAGACTAATTACATGGTAAGCTTCACTCGCGTGCTGTCGAACGAACAAGGATGCACGTACGGCTTGACGTGAGAGACGTGGCAATAATAACAATACCAAGCCAGAGTCGTCCAGTTAGAACCGTGATTCTCCTAGTTTGAATTTGTTTATCTGAAGTTGGCTTTTATGGTAGCAAGATACGAACCATGCATAGAAACAATGCACGACAGATGCGATAATGCCCTATATTCTCATACAATAAGTACTGTACAAGCGCGAAGATATCGCGGATAATACTGTTGTCACAGGTTCTACGGTATGGTTGTAAGAATGTTGGACTACTTGGCAAAAGCTAGCGAAGACTCACCGGCGTTGAACACTGAGGGCGGTCACAAAGATTGTTAATGAGGATCCCATCCTCTTTCAAAGTGCATAGATGGACTCACTGGCGTTCGTAAACTGGATCTTAGTGACGTTCCCGAAGTCTTTGATGGTGTAGTCATATATCATAGCCACATCCATCCCAGAGTTGACATTGTCAACCACGAAAAGGAAGACGACCTGGAAGACAGTAAAGCGTCTGCGTATACGAACCTAGGGATTTTACTATATTACCATATACTTGATCCACGACGCGCCCCTTGGCCGGCATCAGAGGACATGTTGGGTTTGCCAGGGCATACTACGCACCTTTCTTTAGAGTTAAGGTACACGTAAGTCTGTACCCACATCATCCCAAGCAAAAACACATTGAAGATGACGCCTATACAAGAATGTACTCGAGCGGTTAGACCTGGGATCATCAACTTCCACTAACCTAGCAAAAGGGGTCCTAAACTAAGCATGCTATTTGAGCAATCGCACGACGGAAAGATCAAGCAGTGAGCTCACGTCAGGTCCAGACTGTAAGGCTCTACTCCTGAAGCCATACTCAATAGCGACGGATCGGGTCACTTCAGCTACAAAGTAAGACGGAAGGGAGGAGCGAAAAGGGGGAGGTTGCGGAGCCTGACAAGGGCTACCCGAGAACCACTTCACGATATATACGGCATGCCAAAGTCTCCGCTCCAGTGCTGTATCAAGTTATTGATAGAACTGGAAGACTGAAAAGCGTACAATATTATCGAGCGAAGAATGTTACCGGGTTGTTCAGAACTTTGACAGAAAGATCCCGTTGGCTTGAGCGAAGAATGAGATATTTTTACATCCAGGAATGCGACGAGTTCCTGGTGGATCCACACACCTTCCGTCCGAACATCTGTCAATCGCAAGTGCGGCGGGTATTGGCTTCGTTATGTCATTGCTGCACAGGCGAGGGAGCCCCTCTCGACCTCGTGCAATGTGAAGCCAGATAGTATCAAGAATCTGCTGCGATCTCCAGCTGGCGCAGTCAGTCACCTTGAGTTGTCTCTGGATTCCTTGCCCTGCCACACCCGTGGAAGACAATTTGAACACTTGACCTCGAATTCTGGATGTGCAGCTCAGTGGGTCCACTCCGGCATCTCTGCAGCTCCTGAAAAAGAATGTCACTATACCTTGGCTATCTTCCGGACTGGACGCAGGAACCATGCGGACTCCAGAGGGCAAAGGTTTGTAGAGGCCCTTCAGTCTAAGATGGTCGCACCCCCGATCGCTCGGTTCAGCCAGACCTGTCGGCGCTGTCGCTGCTACGGTCAGTGAGTGGAACACCTCACACATCTGTCTAGTTGTCGCAATCTTGATGATATGATTAATCTGTACATGTTTAGTCGTCCAGGGATGTTGATGAGGCGAGTAAAGACAAAGCCGTTTGAATTGGATTAGGCGCCGTTCTGAATTCGCACCGTCACAACGCTTCAGGCCTCCTGTAGTCAAGGAAGGGTGGACGTTATTGATATCAGTACTATAACTACAGTGCAGCGGTGAGTGATGCGAAAACATGCCGACTGTCCTCTCTCCTGCCAAAAAGGGAGGCAATTCGGTCTGCCTACGGGAGACTACTACGGGAGACTAATATGGTGCACGGTGCACCTCTAACTGCGAACCCAATAAAGCAGGACCTAATAGTATGGGACACATTGAAATTCAGATTGATTCAATCTTGCATTGCAATGTGCATCCTTGGAATAGATATCCTATGATACAGTACTGTCCGCTTGTGAGAATGAGTCTAGCTCAGAGTGAGGTATGCTACAGTATGTCGACGAGACGTCAGTTGTTTCGTATCTTTTGTATCGATACTATGTATACACGGCGACTTTTCCTGCGCCACCTCAGTAACGCGGGGGCGCGTACTGCTGGGGAGGTGAAGTAGAAATCCGATCACGGTACGCCTGGCTGTCGAACCCGGCTTGGGGCAGACGAGGCACGGACGCGGGGAACCCGCCAGCCTCAAGGTCGCTGGGCTCGGGGGCGGGATGCAAGGGAATCAGCGAATCGCTGCTGGACTGTGGCTGATGACCTTTCGAAAACGCGGCGGCTTGCCTGTGGAAGGGGTGCATATGTTAAGGCAGGCCGGTGAGGGTGTTTAGGTGGAGCTAACGTACCGAGCCTTTTGCCTCTGATATATGATTTCCTTCTTTGCAATATCCATCTTCTTGCGCATGTACCGCATAGCACCTATCGTGACAACGGTCGTAATAACGACGAGGACGACGGTGACTGTTCTGGACGTTTTGGTAGAGGTGCCTGGAGGGATCATGAATACAGGGAGAGGGAGAGGGCCGATCGGGAGATGTCCTCACCTTCTTCAGATTGCTCTAACAGGACACCCATGTAGACAGTGACGAGTTGCTTGGGTAACGAGAGGATAGCAGCACCAAGGAACACGAGCACGCCGATCCCGCACGTGGAGAAGAGAGCCGTTGTAACTGGGTTAGGTACCCATTAACCGAAAGTTCGGATCTGCAATATGTCCGACTTACGATGAGGAGGAATGACGCTATACCGGCATATCAAGACGACCAGGAAGCCTCCTTCTCGTATGACCTTAGCCAAGGCCGCATACTGAATCTTCTTCTCTTCGAACTTCGCCGCCCGATTTCGCAACAGGTACTTGAACGCGCTGCAAGTATAGCGTATGAGCCTCGCTGCGTGGATAGGTCGACGCAATCTGACACGTACTAGTAGTTACCCAGCTCGCCGAGGATCGTACCGGCTGCGGTTATCCCGAAGCCGGCCCCAAGGCCCCATACGAGACCGCACAGCACTGCGAGAATCTCGTGGCCGAAGAGCTAAGAGGCTTTTCAGCTAAAGCTAACGATCCAGGCTTTTGGAAACGAACTGGTGGGAATGAAATGACGAAAAAGATCGCGATGGGTATCAACCAACCAGCCTTCAGACTGAAGGAGCAATCAGGCAACAGGTCCAAGTTTAAGTGAAGCAAACAAGCTTACTCGTGCATCCATTTAGCTAAGGGTTGAAGCCACTTCACGATTTGTGTATGGAATATCACGGTAAGCACACTGAGCACGATGACGATGAGTATCACCACGGCGTATACTGTCAATATTCCAAGATTCAGCGGATTGCCCATGAACAGCGAATACAGCACATACTGATTCTGCGAGGCGTCCAATAATCGCGATCCTTGTACTTGTTCAAGTCCAATTTCATAATGCCGGACTTGGAGAGTGCTTCCTGTTCACTTGGGGTTGGACTGGGTGTGCGGGCGAGGTCCCGGCGATCTGTGGCGTTGTATGGGTCGTTGTAGGGAGGCGCATCCGGGTAGGTCGACATCGGATACGTGTTATTGGGTGCAGCGGGGATGGGAGCAGCATAGTTGGAGGCCATCGCACGCAAGGAGGGGGGAAAGAAGAAGTCGGGAGAGGAGAGTCAAGTGCTGCGACGGTGTGTCTGCAGCATGCTTATAAAAGGCGGACTAGACTCCGTCAAGCAAGGCGGTGAGGAGAAGCACCGCGCAGCAGGTCCCAACGATTACACTGGCCCAAAGAAGCACCGAGGTTATGAAATGTCGTACGGGGTGTGGGGCGTGTTGTAACCTGTGTGCACGACTTGGATAGGTTTGAACTCAATCAGGGTTTACGTCGGTGTACCGTACGATCATGGTAGACGTGAACGCATCACCCAGTCCCCCTAAGTACGCATTAATGTGAGCTATTTTGAGATACCTTATCGCAGAAACCACGGATGAGTTTCATTTGCGTCTGAAGGGGCTTGTACCTGAGCTTGCGGTTTGGGCCATACCACATTCCGTCAGTTATTATGCCAATACGCTTCTATGCTGTTGTCATAGAGGGCAAGGTTGAATGAGATTATGCAGTATCGCACCGCAGTCAGACGCTCACGCTCTCGGAAACGTATTCTACCGATGGCACTGTGGCGATGAGTTGTACTCGTGAGAATTGGGCGTGACATATCGCCGGAGCGACGTCGCAGCGATTGGTCGCCACCCGCCAGTACTAGAACTGGTAACCTCGGACTTCCCCTTCATGCAAGTTCAGTATGCGGTGAGACTTTCCAGCAATTCATGAGCATATGGTCTCTCATATATAGATCTCATACGTCGATGGGCACATGTTCCACCAGTTAGACCCGTGTGTACGAAGTGAGTTTTGCGTCGAGCACCGGATAGCCAGCACTCGCTGTGGCTCGGCGAATATAATCCTTCTTAACGTTATCCTCTCAAACACCCGTATTTAAGTTGCGCAGCCGATCCACTATGCTACCCTCAGATCTCCTTGAGGTCCTGCAATCCGTCATCAACACAACAAGCCAAGATAACTGTAAGTCTCCATTATCACCATGTCAGAGGGAACCTCGTCTCATCACCCGCCATATCCAGTCTTTGAAGAATCTCTGCACAAGCTGCAGCACTTCTTTCCAGACAGCTTGCTGCTCTCTGCTCTTGATCTGATAGACCGAGAAAATGGTAAGTAATAGAATGTTGATATGCCTCTGTAGCTCTAGAATACGGCGTCGCTCCTTTGTGCTGTCACTCCTGATAGCGAGGAGTCATACCATCCATCAATGCTGCCAATCAGTTTGCAGGAAGCCTATCACTGCGAACAATGGGCCCCTCTCAGATATGGTCGTATCAGTATACTAACCTCACACGACTGATGTCACTATGTTCCTAGTCATTAAATACGCAACTCCGTGGGGAGCCACACAATTCCAAGTTCTAGGGTCCACACCAGGGTCCTCATACTCCGTCTTCCCATCCATCCCCTCCAGTCCTGCCTTGCCATCATACTGCTCATGCCCTGCCTTCGCGTACAGTGTCCTAAAGTCAGACTCACAGCTCACGGTGAGTACTGCCTCTCATACCACCAGCCCGACCTAACGCCGCCTCCCCACCGACAGTGCAAGCACGTCTTAGCAGTGCACCTCGCCCAACGCTTAGGCAGGTGTGTAGAGCGGTCTCTGTCAGCGGACGACCTCGCTTCGATAATTGTTTCTCAATATTCATAACAACTGCGAGACGTCCTTCCGAGTGTGTTCCAAGCAACAAGCTCTTCGTATGAAACAGGTTCTAATGTGCTAGTAAGCTACATTGTAAAGCGGAATTGTAACGTAGCTGCAACTGTATGTGTCCGTGAAACGTGTCTATAATGTAGGATATGATAAAAATGCCGAGCGCTGAACCACATTATACTCGCACAAACCACTGTAACTTATGCCCACTTCTCACTCTCCTAGACCGCCGGCTTCTGCCACTTTGCGACCCTCCAAGCCAGCAGGTCCGCGTAATTGCGCAGACCCTTGACCAGGTTCCTCATACTGACTCTAGTCGCCGGACCCTCTGCGAAAACATCCCGCTCCTCATCTTCGTCATCCTCAGACAGTTCCGACAGTTCGTCCTCGTCGTCCACGTCAGACAGCTCGGACAAAGGAGTAGACACTCGAGACGATCCGTCCGTATCTGGCAGAGCGCTCGAACTCGCGCTCCGCAACTTGCCCTTCCTGTCCTCCACAGTAACTGAGGTATCCCGCGAGGAGTCTCGTTGTTCGACGCCGGGAGAACCCCTGCCCTTCTCTACCCCGAACTTGATAGCGATCCAGTCAGCGAGGGTCTTGATCTCCTTCGGATCGGAGAACCCCCACCACTTCTCTTCCCCATCATCCTCCTCCTCAGTCTTCTTTGACTTATCAATTCCATGGACTTCCTTGGGCGGTCTCTTGCCCCAGACCGCGACAAACCACGACCACCTCCTCATAGCTTCCCTGTCCTCGACAGACATCATCGCCTTCTTCGTGACTTTCGCCTTGCTAGAGTCTTTCGCCTTGCTAGAGTCGGAAAGAAGGGCGGAAGAAAACTCCCTCTCAGCGGCGCCAGGCGGCAAGACCCAGTAGATGCGCCCATCGGCGTCCTTGCCCAACGGTCCCGAGCGAGGTGAATAAGCGGTCATCGCCGTTTCTAGCGCCTGCTCCAAGTCCGTGACGCGGTTCTTGTGGGCTGCCCGCCGCTCCTTAGTCTTAGTTGAGGGAAAGGGGTGGATGAGTGACCGCCGATAACGGCTGAGGAATCGCACTCACAACTGGACCTTTCTTCTCCGTATCCCACCTCTCGTTCTCTTTCTTTATTTCTTCTCGACATTCCTTATGCAGCTCTTTGGCCCGTTCCGTACCCTTGTCAATCTCGTCCTTGACAGCCTTGGTACCCATGACCATGTCAACCAGAGAAAGTAAGATTGGGATAAACTGCCATGATTCCGCAACATGTATGCCGTTACCGACAGCGAAGCCGCTGCGCGTGCTGCGGAAAGTAGCAGAAGCGGGTGGATCCAATGCATCCGGGAAGTCGATGGCTTTGGAACCCGGACCAGACGTTACATTGTCGCGCAGTGTCGCGAGTGCGAGCCAGATCTTGGTGAGGTTCGCACCAGAGTTGCGGATTTCCTTTACGGCTTCCCTGATAGCCTGAAGGAACGGGAAACCTGTCAGCGAGGACCACGCAGGAAATACAGATCGTGCCTGACAGACCTTCTTAGTATTGGACTCGGATTCTTCGGCGATGGCATCCAATAGTCCAACAATCATAGCTTTGACGCAGGGCTCGCTCACCCAAGCGCATATATCCCCTTCCTCGTCTTGTGAGCGACTGGAGCCCCGCACATAATCAGCATCAATATCCTCGAGCTCCTCCAAGTTTGTCTTGCTTATGTCCAAGAGCACTGCGAACCGGAGAACGAATTCACGGAGATAAATGCGATCCTCAGCGCCGGAACGGTCGAGGATGGTTTCCACAGCCTTCCATTTGGGAGACGGCAAAGGCTTGGGCTTCGCAGCTGGTTTAGACTTGGTCTTAGGCTTCTCTGCGGCCACCTCTGTCTTTGACTTAACGGTGAGAGAACTCCCCGCGCTTCCTGTATGAGCCTTGACCTTCGAACCTTTCTTAGCCGGCTCAACCTGTTGGCCTTTGCCGGGAAGTATACCCTGTAGTCAAAGTATATGTGAGCAGACGCTGATAAACGAAGGAACCATATGCTCTACCTGAGCCGAAGGGTTCTGCCCAAGGATTGCTGCCGCCGACTCGGCACCCGCTCTCCGAGCAGCAAGGGTGAGGTTCCTAGCATGATTGGGACGAGGATCAGTGAGATGCACGGATATATGCGCCTGCCGTAGGAAGGGACAAGGTCCTTACCCTGTAGGTTCTAAGCCCTGTGCCTTGCGACACTTCCGGCAATTACAGATGCCCTGACATTTTGGACAACTTCAGGAATATCAGGATGCGGGCTGTAGAGGGCATACACTGAAGTGAATACGTACTGGAATATGTATCCACACCCCTTCACATGACCCCTCGGCTTGGTATCCTCACCACGAGCCATGATAGCCTCAAAGTCACCCCCATAACGGTTCTTTAAACAAAACCTGCAATAGCGTGTCTTACAACGCTCTGTCTTGGATGCATCCTTGGAGCTATATGTGCACTGGATCGCATCTGGAGACCATGATTGGCATGAGCAGACAAAACGCCGCAGAAGGAGACACACCGGCCAGACTGCGCTTTTTATTGCATTGATGGCAATAGAACGACCCAGCAGGGAACTCTTCCGTCGCGTTGGACGGCTTGGCTTGCAGTGCTGGATTGGCACCCGCCGCCTTCTTGGACTTTGCACTCTTGGAAGGGGCGACTTTCGCCTTCTTGGGAGCAGAACTGGACGTGCCGTTGGGCGCATTCGAAGGGGTATTATCGGCCACAGAAAGTTTCCTCTTCCGAGGGGAGGTCCTGGTAGCCGAATCCGCCATGTCGATGTCGGCAGTTGTAGAGAAAGTGTTTTCTTTCTGCTTAGATGAGGACAAACGGGAAGTGGACTTGATGAAAGAGGCGGAAGTGTGGAGTGGCGACGGCGGAATTTCAACAAAGACTCGTGTCCGGCGTCTGACGGCTGAGCCGGGGGTTGTGGCGGGGGTCATGTCGTTGTTCCAAGTGAAGGCGCGTCGCGGGGCTGTTGATCTCATAAAGCACGGTCACGTGGTCTGGCCACGTGATGGCCGGCCCTAAATCGAAAAGTTTCCCTCGCATCAGCGTCAGCACGCCCAAGGCTCCATACAGCACTTGCCACCATGGCTCACGCAGATCACACGCGAGACCCATGGTATGTTTGTTTCTATTGGCATCCGTTCAAGATAGAGAGCTCATAGATGCTGCTTGTAGTCCCTGGGTTATCCTTAATGACTTTGGCGGTGCTTTCGCCATGGGTGCCATCGGCGGTGGTATCTGGCACGGTATAAAAGGTGCACGGAATTCACCAAGGGTACGTCTGATGGAATCGCGAATGCCTCGATGGACACGCTCATATTTCTTCTTTCCTACCTGGACGACATTGGTGATTAGGGCGAACGTCTTGTCGGTGCTGTCTCCGTCATCAAGGCACGAGCACCTGTCACGGGAGGGAACTTCGGTGTTTGGGGAGGCATGTTCTCGACATTTGATTGTGCTGTAAAGGGATGGCGGCAAAAGGAGGATGCATGGAATGCTATTATCTCTGGTTTCCTGACAGGTGGCTGTCTAGCGGCGCGAAGTGAGTCCTCCACCGTCACATCAGATCGCGGTCGGAAGAGAGGGGGATCCAGCTAGGTACTATAGTACCTGACTATATCTCCCATCTCTCGTCCAAGTACCCTGTTCCTGAGATATATCGTTAAAACACGGGACTAACAACACAATGGCAGGCGGACCAAGATCGGCATTAGGCTCTGCTGTAGCATGTGGTATTCTGCTGGGTGTCTTCGAGGGTGTCGGTGTATTAATAAACCGAGTGTTCAGCGAGGGTGCACGACCCCAGCTCCCACCCCGTGAGTGACTCCCCATCTCTGATCTTACTTGCCTCCCCCCTGGGGCAAAATTCTGTCGTATGTTTGTCTAAGATCGTTTTATCTGCAGTTCCCGAAAACATGGTCCCCCAGCAGCCACCACCATCAGCAGTCTCCCATGCTCCAGCACACTAGATGTATCTTCACGCACACGCTCATACCTTACTATCACGCTGTTTTTATCTCCTCTCAGTAATGCATTGTATATCTACGCACCCTCGATATCTGTCCATCCCGTCCTACGCGTCCTTCAGATTCACCAACTTCGCGGTGCAGACTGGAATAGGCAGGAATACAGTGCACTCGAATCTCTCTCTATGGTCGATTTTTCCAGGTACATCGCATGTGTTTGCGCTTTTGTCGGCAACTGACCGCAAGACAGTGACAGTGCGCTGACTGGCTTTCCGTCCCCCCCACCGCCGGCCCCAGTCAGGCACTCGTGTCCCGGAGGGAACGTCGTCCTATAAGTGGCGAGACGTATGCTTAACTTGCCTCCGATTCGACTTCTCAAGGCCGCAAGCGATTTGAATCGCCTCCAAGACAATACGGAAGGATTTGTTTGTCTGGCTGTCCGACCGGCGACATCTACTGAATCATAGGTTCGCACCTGCCGCACCAGAATGCCTAAATGCCGCGAGCCCCGTGCGGCATTTATGTTGTACGTCCTCCATCGTGCATGCCGTTTCGACGCACCCGAGAGTCGCTCCGCTGACTTACACACTACAGATGCTTGCGTAACGGCTCGAAGATCTCATCTTGGAGCCTGCGATATTTTCATTTCGTTGTCTCAGGCTAGCGCTTTGGGGCGTCTGCCAGATTATCCGATTTACGAGGTCCAGACGTCCTACCTAATGAAGGCAGAATGGCGATGTGTACAGTCCAAGACATGATTAGCTTCACTCGAAGAGGGCCTCCAATATCTCTCACAATGTTGCTTAAAGGATTCCGTGGTTTCTAGGGATGACCTGGCACATTATACTCCGGTTCCGCATCCTGTAACGTCAGATCTACTGCGAAGCTAAACTAATATCCGCTCTCCTCCAGCGCCTCAGCAAGAAGGGCTTCGGTGTGAGGAAAGCGAGGCACCACCGAACACTCGAACGGGGCCGGTCGACTGGGTCCAAGGGAAGTGATCAGATGTTGTGAAAGAGCTTGAAGCCCCATACTCACATTACAAGACCACCGGTGATAATTTGAGAAGGATCGGGAACGATTTCCTTCCCGCCTTTGTCTCTCGCCGGACGGATGTGCGAGGCCCATAGGATGCTTGCAATGGAAAAGAATAATGAGTTATTCGCTAGATGACGACCGGGGCAAGTCCTGAGGACGACGATTTTGAGTGCATATATGTACCAAGCTTGTCGCAGGAGACACCTCACCTGGGTCCGAATCCGAAGGTTGCATGCGACTCTTCCTTAGTATTGACAGGGGCTTGAGCCAGTCGACCATCCTTATCGAGATGGCCCTGAGGATTGAACTGTTGTGCATCAGGTCCCCATACAGCAGGATCCTTGTTCATTCCCCTATATCGATTTCGCGGATGCCAACTGGTGACTATTGTCACAAACAACGATGTTTCCAGGGCTCACATCACATTTGGAATACAGATCGTGCCTTTCGGGATGAAGTATCCATTATACCAGTCATCTTCCGCGCATCGGTGAGGTATTCCTGTAAATTAGACGGGTCACGCCATCAACCTGTCACGTTGAATGCAGGGAACAGAAGAACGCACCCACTGGTGCTACTGAGGTCCAGCGCAGCAGTTCTTTGATGATTGCCCGGATGAAATGAGTTGGTCAAAATCTGCGAAAGATGGCATACGGGATTGTCCCACGACAACGTCAATTTCGGCTTGAGCTCGAGTTTGTACATCAGGGCGAAGAACCATTGCTAGCAGGAACCACTGCAGTGCTGATGCTGTCTATGGACCTGGCGTTAGTAACAGTTGGGCTGAGAGTTCCCTTCTGAAGTCTTACCGACTCCGCTCCGGCTGCGCTATAAATCGGCAGTTAATGGACGGGATGTGTGTCATATTGTGGACTATATACTCACTAGTACAGTGACGCCAGCCACGCCGCCTGTCTCTCGGTCAAACCAAGTTTCTCCTGATTGGCGGTTATACCATCTACAAGAGTTGGCTGGTTTCCTCGAGCAGCCTGGGCAAGACGAACTATATGGGCCCTGGTTAATCATCCCAAGGAAGTTGACCTGCTCACGCTTCGTTGTTTTGCTTCGTTGCACATAGTTTCATGCATTCGCGAGTCCTTTTCGTACCAGTACTCGGCATCTCGCTTCCACTTAACCATCCTACTTGGCAGGTGCCTCAAAGCCGGGATGAAGTCTACCAGATGTGTAAACGGCAATGCAGCAATGGTCATGCGCTCTCCATGCTCGTTGATCAGGGCAATAGCAGGATCGTTTGCCGACTTAAGAGGGGGAGGTCCGTATATCACAGACGATACCAGCGATGTCCCGAGTCTGGAGGCTTATTTGGTTATCAGTCCTAGTCAAGCACTGATATGGATACCTTCTCGTATGAACCTGAGACCTCTCGGGCTCCCTGAAGAGAGCTTGAATCCAAATAAGTGCCTCGGTATTTTGTATTCCATGGTATAGCTTGACGGCGTTCTTATGCAACGCATCGTGGCTAACCTGGTACATCCGTCGCCACCTATCGGTGGTGAATATGCGCACGCGAGCGCTGTCTAGGAAGTTGCTCACAAATCGGAATAGTCCATCCAGGCCATTCCATTACCTCCCGTCAGATGGTCGCGGACGACTATATTCGGAGCTCGGTCAGAGTATATGTTCGAGCGTTTATCCAGAAGGTCGGCGGCGGCTTCGTACGTGTTCAAGATAACCAACGGCTTTCCGAAGACATTCAGGTAGACGATAGGGCCTAGAGGAACGGTCGTCGTTGGTCGCTATGAAAAGTCATGGCCACCTACCGAACTGTATTTTCCATCTGTTGAAAGGTATCCAGATCTTTTCCTCCAGCTGGAAGACGTTACCTAGAACAGGTAGACCCCTGGGTCCCGGGGGATATTTCCGTTTTTTGAAAGACTGCACTACAATCCCGAGAAATATGAGGAGGAATGAGGAGAAAAAAGCCCTGGGCAGGAGATAAGCGGTTTCCGACAAAGTAGAAGTCATGAACGTAAAAGGTGCAGGACGCTCGCCAATGAAGGGCGTTGTCTGCTTCAATGGTGGTTCAGCTCGGATTTGATCCCCCTTTAAAGCTTTGAGACCCTTGCCCTCGGTACCTAAGAGCGACACCCCAGGGTCCTCGATTGGGGCAGATGCCGCGGCTAAATGTCAAGATAGGAATGGAATCAGAAACCGTCGTATCTTCTTCCTTCCTGTTTCCGGACCTAGGACGAGGGAATGGGGAATGGAATAACTCGAGCAGCCGAGGCGAAATATTACAGTAATAGCAAGGAAGGGCCGTTGCAACAGACCTCTAATCGAAGCGACGGTGTTCAGTGATAACTCCCAAGAAAGCACTGCGTGGCTTACCACACGATCAAGTCCGATACGGCTGATCTGCCAATGTAGTGCCCCTCCTTTATGGCAACAGAGAGCGTTCAGCTCGGAATGATCAGGTCCAGCCGGGCTTGGGGCATGGTCCAGGCACCCGGCAAAGAAAGCAACCCCCGGTCACCTTACTGTGATCCTTTTTGCGAAAGGGTAATCGAGACGATAATGCCCGCAGGGAGGACATTATCGGCATTTCATCGCTTCCATTGCTTGCAATAATTCGTGCATGGATAAGTTGGACTCTTCAGACTCTTTGGCAATAGTGTAAGGGGTAATAGGTCAGAGCCTTAATTCACCGAGTAAATTAACAGTCGCGGTCTGGGGGGGCTAATTCACCCTGCGTAATTCACGGTTAATTAACCAGAGCGGGTACGGGGCAAAGCCCCTGGCTAAAGAGCTATTTGTCGTTAATTAACGCATGAATTAGGTATATCATACCAGGAAATCAACCGTCAAATAGATCATTTCGGTATGCTACCACTTATCCCATTCCAGCGGCGTGTCATCCATAACTGCATCATCCG